ACAGCCTGTGGCCTCCAGGGAGCACCTGTCTTCTCTCTGGCCAGGAGCCCCCACTGGATTCAGCCTGAGCCCAGACCCCAAGGTAGTGACTGGGTCGTGGGGTGAGGCTCATCTGCTCCGTCTCACCTCATAATCGTATCAAGCAGAGCCCAAGGAAAGAGGCCACAAGGAGAAGGGAGAAGTGGGAAGCGGGAGGGAAGGAAGAAAATCTGCCCAGCTAGAACCTTCTGGGCACGGGCACGGCTGCAAGTCAGTACAGAAAGAGGAGGCCCGGGGTGGGCTGGTCCTGCCACTATCCTGGGTCTGGATCAGCCTCCCGCATCCACGATTATCTAGCTACCAGGAAGCACCTGGCCCGTCCCCCATCCCCTTCACGCCGGAAACCCAGGCCCCTGGGGCTGGGAGCAACTCACGGAGCGTGTGTATGTGCGTGTGGGCTCTTCTAGGGAGGCTCCCAGAGAGCCTCACAGTTCTTCCCTCCTTTCCTTGGAGCCCCAGGACGCGGGTCACTCGTTTCCCAGCCCACCCCCCGTCAGGCTCAGGTTCTGTCCGGGCTCCACTTGGGCTCCCACTCTGCTCCTTGCTGCTCTTAAACAAGGCAGCACCTGCCAGGGCCCAGGCCCTGCCAGGGGCTTGGCTCCGAGCCTTTGCACCAGCTGCGCCCCCCCGCCTGAAGTCCCTCTCTACTCTTCTTCCAGGCGGGAGAATACCACTAATGATAAGAAGAGCTGAAGCTTATTGGGCTCTTACTATGTGCTAGGCTCTCTGCATGGATTATTATTCGACCCTCATTTTCTAGATGAGCCAAAGGAGGAATGTTACTCACCTGCTCCAGGCCACACAGATAGGAAATGGCAGGGTCGGGACTGGAGCTGGGCAGTCTGATTCTAGAGTCTGTGCGCGCGCGAGTGGCTGTACGCGTGGAGGCGGCTCTGGAGGCCCCTGCCTCGGGGGCTCGTGTCCAGCTGGGGAGACAGACATCCGCGGAGATGGGCTGAGCATGGTGAGCGCTGGGAAAGGGGCAGGGGTGGGACTGTGGATTGGTCTCTCCGATTTGGTGTCTCATTTGAAGTGGGCAGGGCAGTGCTTAGGGAGAGGACCCTGCAGAGAGAGCTGCCTCCAGCCCCAGCTCCCCCATTGCCCATCTCCATGGTGGCTGTTGAGGGGTGGCCTCCGCCCCAGTCAAAAGCTGGTCCATCCTGCAGGTCCTGGATGCACCGAATGCGACTCCTCGCTCGCACTTCACATCCAGGTCATCGGCAATCCAGCAGAATCTAACCGCTTCCTGCGGCCCCGCCTCTTGCCCAGGCAGTGCAGGGTCCTCACCACTCCCCCTGCTCTGCCCTCGAGGCAACAGTCTGCTGTCGGCCAAGCAGCCCAAGTGAGGCTGTTCAGGCTGGAGGCTCCGCGCTGAATCCTCCCGTGAAAGCCGCACTTCTGGCCGCGGCCCCGGGCCCCGTGTGATCCAGCCTGTCCACCTCCCTCCGCTCTGCCCTCCGTGTGTTTCCTCGCTCGTGGGCGGCAGACGCTCTCCTGGGCGCTGGCTGTCCTGTTGCCCGGAGCCTGCTGCCCCTGCACCCTCGTCTTCTGGCCTCACTCTTCTCAGTGAGGCCCTCCCTGGCCACCTGATGACCACTGAACCTGCCCCCTCCTGTCCTTTACCCTGTTTCAGTTTTCTCCAGAGCACGACTCTTTGTAACATACCATATGATTGGCAGCGGTCCCTTGCCCTGCGCACGCCTGTGCCCGCTCCACGGGGCGGGGGTTCTTGTCACCCGCGTCCCCTGTGCTCCCAGGGCCAGCACAGCGCCTGGCACCCAGTGGGCTCTCAGTAAGTAGTCGCTGAGTGAATGGAGGAGACAGGTTGGGTGACACCCCACGGGGGGTCGTGTGGGTCAAATGCAATTGTGGCTGTTCCATCCACTGGGTTGTGTTCCCTGGTCACTGGTGGACTGTCCGTGGGACCCTTATCACCCCACTGGGGTTGATCTTGGCAGATGGAAGGGACCCAGGACAGCTTTACCACTGGATGAAATCCCATTATTGACCCCACAGAATTGAGTCTGACCCTTACTAATTGTGTGTCACTGAACAAGTTATACCATCTCTCTGGCCTCGGTCTCCTCGTCTGTATAATGGAGAGGACAAGGGTACCTGCTGCGTGTTGGGGGGGTCCAGTGAGGACTGCGTGTAATGTGCTCAGGACAGTAGCTGGCCTGTAAGGGTCAGCAATCTCGTTACACCTGATGGTTCTGGATGAAGCTTTACAACAGAGGGAGAAATGCTGGAGCTGGGGCCAAATTTGGTTCCATGGCTTTAGCCCACAGCCAGGCCAGCTGCTCCAGGGAGGGCTATGGTCTCAGCGGTCAGGAGGGAGAGGCTGGCTCAGGAACAGAACTTATGTTCAGGTCCTGTTCAGTCACCTTCTTAAGGTTTTTTGGGGAAAGTCTCATCATCTTTCTGAGTCTCAATTTCCCCACCTGTAAAAATGGGGCGTTCACAGTCCTCAGTCTCCCAGGGGTGGTGAGACTTACATGAGACCCCGGGTGCCAATGCTTATTTATTTATTTGGTTTCCTATTAATATGCCATTCAGTCTAAAAAATGTATCTGAAGCACTTATCAAAATACTTGAAGATAAGATAAAAAGGGATCGGGCCAAGAAGAGTAAGTTTAAAAAACACAGGCAGCTGTGTGTGAAGGTGTCCTGGAAAACTTGGCCTGTGACGCACTGACTTGCTCTGGGCCAACCACCGTGTGTCTGTGAGCCTCCTAGCAGCCTGAGCGATGAGGGAGACACACTCGGTTCCATGATTATTGGCAGCAAGCCAGGCTGGGGCCTATGTCAAACGGCCTCACCCTGAAGACCCCAGTGATTAAGAGGGGGATCCCAAGCACTGGTGAGTCTGTCCTCTGAAGCGCACAGCTGGCCAGGTGTAACTAGATCCTGAAAGCCAACCTGACCAGGGAGCCAAGGGGCAGCTGGGTCAGTGTGACCTCAGCAGGGCTGTAGGGGCCCCTTTGCTCTAAGCAGGGCGTTCACTTGCCTCCCTGAGTTTCACTGACCTTCCTAAGGCCTTTGTTCACTGCTGCCAGGGAATTTAGTCTGAGCGGCAGCCCCGGCCTTGCCCTTCACAGCTCACGGCCAGTTCAGTCCAGCAAGGGCTGGGATTGGGGTGCCCCACAGAGACACGCCCCAAGTGGGGACAAATAATCCGCCAGAAGGATCAGGGCTGCCTTGCCAGGTCCTACAAGCCCTCGGGTGGGTCACTCTGGAGGCTTCTGCAGTGTCGCCTTGTACCTAGTCCCTACCCCAGCAAGACCTCCTATCCGCCTGCCTCTGTTGGGCCTCAGCCCTTTGCCTCTCCACTCGCCCTGCTGGCCTGGCCTGCCTGGTCTCGCTTTGCCAGAGCAGGGCAGGAACCCATGGTGGGGAGAGGAACCTGGAAGACACACTTCAAAACATTGCCAAGGAGCAGCCCTCCCTCCTGCCTCCCAGTGGAGACCTGTCCCCCCTCTGCTCCTGGGGCAGCTGACATTTAGCAGAGGTCAGGCCCTCACCCCCGATTGTCCTGCCTCCTATAGTCAGCTGTGCCGGCCCCCCGATGGCAGGCTCCAGGGCGTCAGCATTTAAACTGGAGGAGGGGGGACATCTGGGTCCTGAGAGCACAAGTACCGCCCTGGCCAGCGGGATCGGCGACTCGACTGCTTCTCACTAGCATACTCAGGACTCCTCACCAAGGTGAGGCCGGGGAAGGCGGGCCTCCTCCACAGAATGAAAGGGTTGGTGCAGGTGGTCCTTAAAGTTTTGTCCTGGGTCCAACATTTCATGATTTTGTGACTTATGACCATGTAGCTTAGAGAAAATTTATGTTGGAGTCTTCCAGCCTCGAGCTTTGAAAGAAGTGAAAGCTTATCGAGCACCTGCTGCACAGCAGGAACTCTGTGCCCATTTCACAGATGTAGAAACTGAGGTTCAGAATGGTGAGGACCCTTGCTTAGGTTAGGATATGGAGGGGAGGGTATGGCAGGAAGGCACCCAAATGACCCAGAGGAAGAACCAGAGATGTTAAGGGGAAGCCACAGAAAGGAACATTTTAAGGGAAGGGACAGCGTCCCCTACACAGGGATCTATGGAAGGGGACATGAAAACACCAGGTGCCAAAGGCCGCTTTCTGTCCCAGCCCCTCCTGTGACTCTGTAGGTCATCCCAACCAAGTATGATAATAATTATAAAAAACTGAGAACAGAAAAATTGCACGTAAGACCGGTGATACACCTCAAACACATGAACTGTTTATGGCTGGATATCAATCTACTGCCTGGCATGGGGTAATGAAGGGGAACTTTTTCTTAATTTTGTTCTTTAAATATGTTAGAATTAGAAGTGTTCCCTTGAGACCTGGGAATTTTTTCAGTGAAAAAGGTTTGTAAATATAGCCACAGAAAATATAGATAAAGAGACAGAGAGATGGACAGATAGAACGAGAAAGCACCGTGGGTGGTGCAGGGAAGGGACCCCACCTCCGCAGCCTGCGACCCACTCTCCCCCTCCCTTGGGGCCTGGAAGCCCCCTGGGGCAGGTTCTGCACTGCAGGGTTGCGCTTTTCCCAGGATGCATCTTGTTCCTGGAGCAAAGCCTAACAATGCAGCTGGTACAGTCAGGGTGGGGCGGGCAGGTTGCCAGGGGTATGTGTGGTGACCTGGTGGTCTTGGAGGGGAGAGGTTGTGGGAGTGGAGGGGTCCTGAGCCTGGTGGGGTTTCCTTGATGCTGGGGCTTCCAGGGGTCCTTGGTGCAGTGAGTTGGACTCACAGGCTTGACTTCTAGAGGAGTCGCCTGGAGGTGACTTCCTGCAGGGTCACCAGGCGCTGGTCAGGACATGCACAAACACGGTGGCAACAAAGCCCTCCCCGTTCCCTCCCTTAGGAGAAGAGCCTCAGGCTCCCCTTGCCCGGGTCTGCAGACCCCTGACCCATCTGCTGTCTCCCTGTTTCCTGCAGGATGAAGATGAGACGCTACAAGCTCTTTCTCATGTTCTGTATGGCCGGTCTGTGCCTCATCTCCTTCCTGCACTTCTTTAAGACCCTGTCCTATGTCACCTTCCCCCGAGAACTGGCCTCCCTCAGCCCTAACCTGGTGTCCAGCTTCTTCTGGAACAATGCCCCGGTCACGCCCCAGGCCAGCCCCGAGCCGGGCAGCCCCGACCTGCTGCGTACCCCGCTCTATTCCCACTCGCCCCTGCTCCAGCCGCTGTCGCCAAGCAAGGCCACGGAGGAAATCCACCGGATGGACTTCGTGCTGCCCGAGGACACCACCGAGTACTTCCTCCGCACCAAAGCCGGGGGCGTCTGCTTCAAGCCAGGTACCAAGACGCTGGAGAAGCCGCCATCAGGGCGGCCAGAGGAGAAGGCAGAGGCGGGCGAAGGCGCGTCGGCGCGGGGCCCGGGCCGGCAGCTGCTGAGCGCCCGGGAGCGGCCGGGGGGGCGCGGCGCGCGGCGCAAGTGGGTGGAGTGCGTGTGCCTCCCGGGCTGGCACGGGCCGAGCTGCGGCGTGCCCACCGTGGTGCAGTACTCCAACCTGCCCACCAAGGAGCGCCTGGTGCCCCGCGAGGTGCCGCGGAGGGTCATCAACGCCATCAACATCAACCATGAGTTCGACCTGCTGGACGTGCGCTTCCACGAGCTGGGCGACGTGGTGGACGCCTTCGTGGTGTGCGAGTCCAACTTCACGGCCTACGGGGAGCCGCGGCCGCTCAAGTTCCGCGAGATGCTGACCAACGGCACCTTCGAGTACATCCGGCACAAGGTGCTCTACGTCTTCCTGGACCACTTCCCGCCGGGCGGGCGGCAGGACGGCTGGATCGCCGACGACTACCTGCGCACCTTCCTGACGCAGGATGGCGTGTCGCGGCTGCGCAACCTGCGGCCCGATGACGTCTTCATCATCGACGACGCCGACGAGATCCCCGCTCGCGACGGCGTGCTCTTCCTCAAGCTCTACGACGGCTGGACGGAGCCCTTCGCCTTCCACATGCGCAAGTCACTGTACGGCTTCTTCTGGAAGCAGCCGGGCACCCTAGAGGTGGTGTCGGGCTGCACGGTGGACATGCTGCAGACGGTGTACGGGCTGGACGGCATCCGTCTGCGCCGCCGCCAGTACTACACCATGCCCAACTTCCGCCAGTACGAGAACCGCACGGGCCACATCCTGGTGCAGTGGTCACTGGGCAGCCCCCTGCACTTCGCCGGCTGGCACTGTTCCTGGTGCTTCACACCCGAGGGCATCTACTTCAAGCTGGTGTCCGCCCAGAACGGCGACTTCCCCCGCTGGGGTGACTACGAGGACAAGCGGGACCTCAATTACATCCGGAGCTTGATCCGCACAGGGGGCTGGTTCGACGGCACGCAGCAGGAGTACCCGCCGGCCGACCCCAGCGAACACATGTATGCCCCTAAGTACCTGCTCAAGAACTACCACCAGTTCCGCTACCTGCTGGACAACCCCTATCAGGAGCCCAAGAGCACAGCAGACGGTGGGCGGCGGAGCAAGCGTCCGGAGGGAAGGCCGCCCGCCAGGAGCAAATTGGACGTGGTTGAAGGCTAAGGCTGCATGATCTTATAGGGCCGGTGGCCAGGGTGGGGGGTGGGCGGCTGCCCCCCTGTTACCTTCCTGTCTCCTTCCGCCGTCTGGGTGGCTCTTAAGAGAACCAGGAGTGGATAGGTGGGGGAGTCTTTCCTACTCAAGCCCCTGTGAATCCAGGGTCAGGCCTGTGAGCTCAGAAAACATCCTTCCTAGTCAGGAGAGGAGAGCAGGCCCTTTCACCCCTCCAAGAGTGCTGCAGCCAGGAGGTGCCAACGGAGAGTGCACGGTGGTTACTGGGGAGCAGGGGAGGGTGGGGAAGGGAGCCTGCAGGAACTCTCTAGGGCAGCCAAGTGGGAGCTATGGTCCCCTCTGGGGAGAAGCCCACCATTCGGCCTCCTGGGGCTTTGGACCTGCAGTGGGAAAGGGGGATGCCGGGAGATCCCAGGGCTCTGTAAATAGATGCATTTGGGCCCAGGAGGAAGAAGGGACACCAAGGTCGGAGGGGATGAAAGTGGCAGCTGGAAGGAAGCCCCGATGGATGCTTTGTAGTGTCCTCAGGAGTGCTGGGCCAGAGGGAGCAGGGACCTCCACCCCGCTGCCTCACAGGACACACTGCACGGATGGCCCTGTGCCCCCAGCCCCTCCGGACCTGACACAGATGTGGGGCCTGGGAAGCCTGGGAAGTCTTCCTTTTGGTTCCAAACCTGGCCTTGACATTCCTTCTTACTTTTGACATCGCTGTCTTGTGGGCTGCCCACCCAGTCCTTGCAAGACCAGGAGTCCAGTTCTCAGGGTGGGATGTGACTGTCAGCCAGCCTAGTAAGTCAGCCCTGGGGGAGGAGCCTCCTCCTCCCCCATCACCCCTTCCCACTGGAACCCACAGCCCCAGCTCTCCACCATCTCAGGTGGAGTCACCCATGTGCCCCTCCTTGGGGCTGGCTAGGGGCCAGGAAGGGGCCATGAGGTTGCCCTGGGCCCAAGAGGGACATTAAGGCCAGTTGTATGGCATCTCATTCCTTAGTTGCCTCGTGGGGGAGGGGGTGTATTGTTAGAGTAGATTCTAAGCTGCTGTGATTAAGAGACCCCCAAATACAGTGGCTTAAAGCAGACAGAAGCTTGTTTCTAACTTAACTCTCCAGAGGGAGGTTGTCTGGATCTGGTAGGGCAGCTCTGTTTTCCTTCATCCCACTTTCCAATTCTGGGTAGAGTGGTTGCTCGAGCTCCCACCATCACATGTGCATCCGTGTCTGAGGGAACCAGAAAAAGGCATGGAAGGGCACACCCTTCCTGTTAAGAGCATGAGCCAGAGGTGGCACAGTCACTTCCGATGGCATCTCACTGGCCAGGACTTAGTCACATGGCCACAAGTAGCTGCAAGGGAAGCGGGAAAAGTAGTCTTCAGCTGGGCTGCCCTGTTCATTTATTAAAGGAAGGAGGAGGAGAGGATGGATATGGGTACAGGAGCATCTCTGGCACAAGGGGAGGAGGGGAGAGGGTAGAAATGACTGTTGTAGTTGTAGATCCTGCTCGCATGTACAGAGCTCCTGAAACCTGCCCCTGCCCCCCTCACTGCCAGCCCAGGGCCAGGGTGCAGTGAGAGCCTGCCGCTGTGGGCTGGGAGAGACGCCTCCTCCCCGAGGCCCCCTCAGATGTTTACCCAGTGATGCCGGGTCGCAGAGCCTGCCTGTGGAACTGTACGTGTTTGTGCGTGTGCGTGTGTGTGTGTGTGTGTGTGTGTGTGTGTATTTATGGGCATGGGTGCATGCTTGCTGTATACTTGTACGTGACTGTGTTGGTGCGCCCCTGTACATATATGCTTGTGTGTGGATGTGGAAGCAGGGCCCAGGCCACCCTTCCCGAGACCTGGAGCCTGGGGCCACACCTCCTGCAACTTCCCAAAATAACTGAGGCAGAAAGCAAGCTGGGGAGCCCGGAAAGCCAGGCTAAAGGGGATGTTGGGTCCGTCTGTCTGTCTGTCTGTCTTTCAGTCCAAGGAATGAGAATCCTCCCGACCAGAGTGCTGTAGGGCTGAGAGCCCACCACAACCCCCCGGCCCCTTCCCTCCATCCCAGCCCCTCCAGCCTCCAGCCGGGATTTTCTTGGGGTGTCTTATTGGGGGTTTCCTGATGGGTCGGGAGAGGAGGGCATCTCCTTTGCCATAGCTCTGCCTGGGGAGGCGCCCACCGTGGGTGTGGCTCGGGGAGCTGGCCGCAGAGCAGCCTCGGGCGGGTGGGTGTGAAGCAGGTATGGGGGTCTCTGTTGCCCCCACTGTCCCTCCCATTGAGGGGGTGTCCCGAGGGAACCCTTCCCTTGGAGGTAGAGCAGCCCCCTTCTCTCTGGCCCCTCTTGCAGCTAAGGGGCTCAAGAGGTCAGGGTGTCCCTGTGGCTCTGGGTCACCCAGGCCAGGGTGACCTGGCCTCACCTCCAGCCACCTCTGCTCCCCGCCGGGCGGGCAGTCCCTAGGGGCTTCTGACTCGTGCCTGAGCCCCAGCCCAGGGCCCCCCTCCCTGACAGCTTCCTCGCCCTACGCCCCTGGCACACTCTACTGCTGAAGGGATGCCCCTGTCCGGGCTGTCAGGGGTCCCTGGCCTCCAGTTCACCAGCTCAGGGGCAGGGGAAGGCAGAGGGGAGGAGCTCAGACCTGCCAGGCCCCACCTTCCCTCTCAGACACAGGAGGGCCGGGCGCATTCACGGCCACCGCCAAGTGGAGGCCTGGCCACGGAGCGGAGCGCACGGCTTCCAGCAGGCTGTGGGGGCCAAGGCGTGGGGTTGAAGAGTTTCACTTATAGGCATGTCAGACACTGGGAATTTCGGGGGCAGGGGAGCCCTGGGCCACTCCCCCAGTATGAAGGGAAACCAAACTGTGAATGTGAGCGCCAGTGCACTGCTGGCCCTGGCGCCATAGCCAGCTTGCTTTCTCTGGGAACCACCCGCCCTATGGCCTCCAGACTCAAGGAGGCCCAGCACACCTCGGATCATGTTGGTTCCCATGGGCAGGCGTGGAAGAGTTTTGGGGACAAAGGTGACAGGGTGGGGAGGCAGGACTTGCCCAAGCAGCGGGCAGGGTCCTGGGAAATGTGTAATTTAAGGACACCAATAATAATAATAGTATTATTTTTTTTGTAAGGGAAAATCAATATGTACATTCTGAAATCATTTTCTCTGTAAATGGTTGGATTTCATTTCACCCTTAAAGGGATGCTTAAAGGAGAAGATAATATTAATAATAAAAACAGCTACAAAGTCTGCAGTGTGTGCTTGAGTGGCCAGTTTGGGGGTGCTCTGGGGCAGGGAGGGGTGCGAGTGGGTAGCTCTGGTCTTGCTGGGTCGGTGGGGTGTGAGCCTTCCTGGGGACTGGACAGCGGTGAGGGAGGGGCCGTTCTGAGCATCTTCATTTAGACATGCACTTACCCCCTCCCCTTGCCCCGACCAAGGGAGCATCTGTCCCTTCCACCAGTGGAAACGGGCCTGGAAAGGGAGGCGCTAACAGTCCTTCACAGAAGGACCTGGCCTGGCTATGCCCACCCTCCTGAGGTGGGTGGGGACCCCTTTGGGGATCTAGATGAAGACTTTTGTGCCTCTAGTGAGAGTGGGGCGATTCTCCCGCAATTGTGCTCTCAGCGGTCTTCCTCCCTACGCCTGTCAGGGGTCCTAAGGCCACACAGCCACTTGGTGGCAGACCAGGGCCAGATCTGAATTCCCAGGACTAGTCCTGTCACCAGCCCTCTGGGGCAGGTAAGGGCGACAGCCTCCAGGAAGGGTCATCTCCCCTATGGAGCTAATCTGGACTTGGGCTGTGATGGTGTCTGGGCTGTGGAATGTGGGGACTTCCCCGACAGCTTCCTCTAGGCCTTCCATATCCTGGCATTGTCCTGGGGAGGGGAGCCTCTGGGTATATTCTAAGGACAGTGTCAGAGATGGTGGGAGTGGACACACTTTGAACTCTGCCTTGGTACCTCATGGGGTGGCTGTGAAGCAACTGTCTGTGGGGAGACTGAGGCTGGGGATAGGAAGAGAAGTGACAGAGTGTTGGTGGCTGGAGCAGGGGCTAATGCCTCCTGAGCCCCCGCAAATTGCCAGGCGCTGTACACACGTAACTCTGATGCCTGGACTCCCGGCCACACCCCCAAAGCCCAGGAAGGCGCCCACAGGTGCAGGATTGAGCAAGAGTGGAAGAGATGTAGATGTCGCATCTATCTGGAAGAGAGCGGTGGTGACCCACTTGCCACTTAAGATAAGCTTACAGCCCTTAAATCACACCTGAGGGAATTCCCTGGCAGTCCAGTGTTTAGGACTTGGCGTTCGCACTGCCGGGGCGGCAAGGCCGAAAAAAAAAAAAGTCTGAGAGTGAATCACGACCGTCATAAACATTTACAGACATTATTTATTAAATGCCTATTTTGTGCCAAACTCTGGGCTGAGTGTTCCCTCCCCATCATTCCCATTTTACAGATGTGGAAAGTGAGGCTTGGACATATTAAATAGGCAGTGAATGGCGGAGTCAGAGTTTGCCTAAACCCAGAAGCTGAGCTCTTAACTGCCAAAGTGCACTCCCTCTATCAGCATCCACTCGGGGAGGAGGAAGGGGAGAAGAGGTGAGGACAGGATGGCGGTGATGCCTGCGTCAATGTTCAGACATCATCCAGGCTCCTAACTGAGCCAGGCACGGTGCTGGGTCACGGGACACTGAGAGCGAGGACAGTCCCTGTTCGCAGAAGGACCACAGTCAGTGGGGGAACACAGACAGGTAAGCACGACCTCAGGACGGTGAGGTGAGGCTGGCGCAGAGTCCTCAGAGCCCAGGAACCGGCATGGTGCTCTGTCCGTGAGCATCAGGTACAGCACTCCCCCTCCGCTGGCCATCCAGGAGGGTGTGGGGTGCTGACAGGCTCCATGACCTTGGGAGGGACGCGTATTCCCTTCCAGACTCAGTCTTCTCTCTGTAAAAATGGCCCATAGAAAGCTTTACTGTGCATAGAGGGTAAAATGAAATAAAGGGAAATGCATGGCAACCTGTTAAGCGCCATCAGGATGGAAGAGACAAGAGCAAAAGTGACGACTACAGTCAACACCAGTCATTAACCACCGCCCTGCCCAGTTCGCTTTGCAAGTTGGAGCTTCAGCTGTGTGTACATAAAACCCCCAAATCCCGAAGGCCCATCATCCTGGATCCCATTGGAAGTCCCCACCCATGTGCCCCAAATCATGAAACATCCACAAATCTCTGGTTAAAGCTCAAAGGAGTGAAAGGCCTTGCCCAGGGCCAGTCTTCTGGCCAGCATCCTTGGCCCCTCACCTGCTGTTCTAGTGAATTTCCAGAGACTCCGTTATTGCAGGAAACTAACTCTTTCAAATTCATATAGTCTTTTAATAGTTTTTTTTTCTTACTCTATTGCTTATTTATTGCTGTAACACAAACCACCCTGAAATTTAGTAGATAAAACAACAATCTATCTGCTCACAGTTCTACCATTCAGGCTGGGTTCAGCCGAACAGTTCTTCTGCTCAGCAGCGGGCGGGCAGCTGCTACAGGGACGCACCCACGTGCTCAGACCTGACCTACACTGTTGGTGACAAAGGAAGGGATAACGCACAAAAGAATGAGCCTGTCAGCCAGTCAGCCATCACACACACAGACAGGACTCCCCCAACCTCACAGACCCACTGAAAAGACGCTCTGAGAAGGACCCACATCACCCACGAGGTCTACTGCCAAAAAAGCCATTGCCTGACGATGATCCCAAGGAGCATCACACAAACCCACATTAAGGAACAATCTACACAAAAAATGGCCCTTCATATATACACCCCCCTTATTGCCTGCAACCCTGTGCTGCCGTATTTGCGAGAAAAGCCCAACCCTGTATCAGTATCACAGACCATCTTTATATATATATATATATATATATATATATATAAAAATTTATTTGTTTATTTATTTATTTTTGGCTGCACGCGGGCTTTCTCTAGTTGCGGCAAGAGGGGGGCTACTCTTTGTTGTGGTACGCGGGCTTCTCATTGCGGTGGCTTCTCTTGTTGTGGAGCACGGGCTCTTGGTGCACGGGCTTCAGTAGTTGTGGCACACGGGCTCAGTAGTTGTGGCTTGTGGGCTCTAGAGCCCAGGCTCAGCAGTTCACAGACCATCTTTGAAGCACCTATCCTAGACTACTGAAAGCTTCCAGAGACAAAACGTCAACAGTGAAACAGATCATTACTAGTGTGGCCTCGACATGTGGCCTGGTTGTCCCCATTATCCCAACTGGTCAAGGCCAGAGAATTTCCCAGTCAAGTCCAACCTAAAGATCAATCCAGTCTCAGCTGAACTGCTTTAGCCACTAAGCTGTGGGGTGATTTGTTACACAGCTAGTTGTGGCTCTACATAACTGATACAGTTTGCTTTCAGTTAATGACAGAAAAGCCAACCCAAACTAGAAAAGCAGAGAAGGAATTTATTGGCTTGCTGGGGGTAAAGTTCAGTAATGTCAAAGGCTTTGGATCCAGCTTGAGGCAGAGCTCAGTGTCACATTGTCATCCAGCTCTCTCTGTGGCTCAGCTCAGTTCCACATCCCAACCTGTGTTGTCCTTATTCTCAGATGGGTTTACCCCTCGTGCCTGCAAGATGGCTGTAGCAGCTGCAGGTCTCACGACATCTCATCTTGTGTATTCAGCACAGAAGAAGTAGAGCTCCTCCCCCTACAAGTCCTATGCCTGGATCTCACTGACTTGGATGTGGTCATGTGATCATGCCTTGAGCACTGAGACTGGAGGGGGGTTGGAATATACTGATCGCCTTATTGAAAAGGAGGGGGGATGGTCCCCCCAAAGTGGGGGCAAAGATGCCACCATTGGTACAACCTCAACTGCCTCCATCAGGCCTTTTACCAGCCCTTGGTAAACTCCCTCTCCTGGATCATCTGGGAAATGAGGCTCTTCATAGGACAGACTTCCAGAGTGGTTGTGAAGATGCTCAGAGCTTGGGACAAAGCCTGGAGCACTGTGGGAGTGTCAAAAGTGTGAGTTATCATCATCATGACTATGTTCTCCCGCTCCACTTCCTCACGTGGTGCATCTGACACACGGATCACACAGCCTGTCTCAACACCCCTTCCCTTAGCCTCTGTGACTACTTCTTCCTCCTCCCTGACATTCCTCCTTGGTTGCCTTTCTGGGCTCCTTTAACGCCATGCACCCCTTCAATAAGGGGGCTCCCCATGGCTTAGTCCTGGGCTCACTGCTCTGCTTACAGTATATGACTCTAGTCAAGGTGGCGTCAGCTCACTCTCTCCAGGGAGTCCTGTCTCCTGAGCATCTGGTCCATGGAACCCACTGTTAGATGAGTCCCCAAGGTGTCAAGGTCACCTCAAACACCAAGGAGCCACATGGAACTCAGCTTCCCCACAGGCTCTTCCTCCTGTTCTCTACTTTCCATCCCATTGATGACCCTTCATCCTCCCAATCACAACAGCTGGAAATCTGAGAGTCATTCTTGAATTCTCCCTAATAGTAGCTACCATTTATTGAGCACCTGCTGTATACCGGGGACTGTGTTATGATCTAACCATCCAGTGTCCAAATCCCAGATTCCCACTTGCTAATCACATGACCCTAGATGTGTTCATCTCAGCATTTGTAAAGTAGAGATGACTGGGCTTCCCTGGTGGCACAGTGGTTAAGAGTCCGCCTGCCAATGTAGGGGACAAGGGTTCGAGCCCTGGTCTGGGAAGATCCCACATGCCGTGGAGCAACTAAGCCCGTGCGCCACAACTACTGAGCTTGCACTCTAGAGCCCGCGAGCCACAGCTACTGACCTGCGTGCTTAGAGACCGTGCTCCACAACAAGAGAAGCCACCACAATGAGAAGCCCATGCACCACAATGAAGAGTAGTCCCCACTCGCCGCAACTAGAGAAAGCCGTGCACAGCAAAAGACCCAACACAGCCAAAAGTAAATAAATAAATAAATTTATTTTTTAAAAAAAGTAGAGATGACAACTCAAAGCGTTAGTTGTCATGGGTATTAAATGATGCCTGTGAAGCAGTTGACACAGAGCTGGGCACCCAGTAGGCACTCAGGCAGTGCTACCTGCCGTGGACATCTGCACTTGCTCTTTCCCATATCTCTTCCTCCCAGAATTTTTTTTGAATTTTATTTAATTTATATTTTTATACAGCAGGTTCTTGTTAGTCATCAATTTTATACACATCAGTGTATACATGTCAATCCCAATCGCTCAATTCATCACACCACCATCCCCAACCCCCTGCGGCTTTCCTCCTTTGGTGTCCATACGTTTGTTCTCTACATCTGTGTCTCAACTTCTGCCCTGCAAACT